TCCAGCATTGAGAGTGTTACAGTGTGAGTTTATACAAGTGGGAGCTTGTAAGTAGTGTTGGAATGCTTACATGCAGTTGAGATCCACAGCCTGTATTGAAACCACAATCTAATTTTCTGTTTGAGCTTTGTTCTTACAGTTAAGACTGACCAGCTTCTATCCCCAAAAGGCAGTTCTTTATGTAAGATTTATTAAAACATGCTAAGCTAAATCCAGTTTACAGAACAAGTGGGAAAAGGTTTAAAATGAAGGAAGTCTGATTGTCTGTGCAGTGACTTAATAATCTTTTGTTGAAGATCCTGCAACATTTGCCTGAAAGGATAGGGAGCACTGAATACTCTTAAAGGCAGCAAATAAGCATTGGAGGTCAGTCTTACCGCATCTAATATTTCAAACTTCTTCTTTGCCTGAAGAACATTAATCTAAGAAAGAAAAGATCATAGGTTTATTAACAGAGAGAGTGAGCTCTTATACAATAGTTGCTGTAATACTGTTTTATAAATGGTTGGTATGACTACTTTAAAATTCCCTATTTTACTAAGAGCTGTTGTTAATATTTCCTGTTTTACAGATGTGTGTGCTAATACCGTTTTACCATTAGCTGGTATATAGAGCTCCCAGCATTACTGAGGGCTCTGGCTGTTTGATTGATCATTGCTGCACAACTTATGTTAAACATGTCAGCAGCGCCACACTGTCTAGACAATGAAGCCAAGGAGGCATCCAAGCTGAACCCTTTGTTACTGTGGAGAACTGCAGATTGACTATATTTTACACCAAACAAAGGGGGAAGGAAGAACATAGCAAACTGGAGGGTTATGTAGGTAGTGAGTGATGCTTGTTTTATATTCAATTTAAGGTACTTCAGAGAAAAAAAATAGTCTATATTTTAAAATAATAATTCATTTTCATCCACAGTCTGAACTGAATGATTCTTTCACTTATTCTAACTGGTCAAAACTGTAGTCCAAATATGGTTCATAAAGGTTTTGAAGTATATTAAATGAGTACTGTCTCCAAGGGACAAAGCTTTATGAAGATTTATTACTTATGCAAAGGAGGAGTCAAGGTAGCTTCCACCATACCTTCTCCACAGATACAGCAGCAACAAAGTGGTGTGGTCATATACTGAACAGTGCCTTAATAAACAAACAAGAGTTCTGACAAATACTGTGGTGCCTGCTTTAACAGAAGAACAGGGATCCTTCAAAACAGGAAAATCATTTAATTGATGTATCAGCTTATTTATTGTTTCAGGTTCTATCCCCCTCCACATTTGTTAAGAAGTAATTCCAGCAAGTCAGCTAACTGGTGAGAGATAATGGGGCTGAATGTATAAGGCGTCTGCAAAAGCAAAATAACACGTGGCTATTACACCTAGTGAACGCACAGACAATATAAAAATCAAAAGAACTGCGGATGCTGTAAATCAGGAACAAAAACAAAATTGCTGGAAAAGCTCAGCAGGTCTGGCTGCATCTGTGGAGGAGAAAACAGAATTAATGTTTTGGGTCCGGTGACCCTTCCTCAGAACTCTGAATTTGAATTTTAAAAAATGTCTGGAATTAAGAATCTACTGATTACCATGAATCCATTGCCGATTGTCAGAAAAACCCATCTGGTTCACTAAAGTCCTTCAGGGAAGGAAATCTGCCACCCTCACCTGGTCTGGCCTACATGTGACTCCAAACCTGGCAATGTGGTTGACTCTCAACTGCCCTCTGAAATGGCCAGCAAGCCACTCAGTTGTAGTTGTACACCTCTAGAGCAAAGGTGGTTGGACTTTAACTTGGGTTGCCTGGCTCAGAGGTAGGAGCAGTACCACTGTACCACAATTGCTCATTCAATCTCACTTCACTTTGCCTCACTACTCACTCAATCTTACTTCACCTATTTTTTTCCTAATCAACCTGTTCAGAGATATTATTGTACACCTCTAGAGCAGGTGGAACTTGAACCTGTGTCTCTCAGTCCAGAGTTAGCGACACTACCACTGCTCAACAAGAGGGGCCCTCAGGCTCACTTATAGCTGTAAAAGGCTATCACGAAGCAGCTAAGTGATTCCTGTGCCTTTGCAGCAAGTTTAACATCAGCTACAGATTTGAAGCGGAGAAGATGTTTGTGGAGCGTTGTACCGCCATCAAGTGTCAAGTCTTGAAATTGAACTCGTACGGGAGCTGAAATATCAATGGGCAGTATCAATATTGCACCGAGTCCACGGCATCAGTACGCGATGTGACACAGGGCCGGGTGTCAAAAAGAGGCAAGCACGTGGAACACCTTACCACAAGAAGTCATTGAGGCTGATTTTAGGAGCAGCTGCTTAAATAGACGAGGGAAGAATGAGGGAGTATATAAACACACGTGGTTAGGAACATGGCAAATCTTATTAGGAGTAAGGGAGATGCAGTTTTGAAACAAAAAGGTGAGACATTGAAAGACAAGTATCCAGATCGAGGCATGCAGAAACAAAAGAGAATGAGAACAGACAGACGGGAAAAGGCAGCGAGTGGTATGAATGGATCAGATTTACAGTATTTGGAACTTTGAGGGAAATCTGACCTCAGTGAATGTAACAATTTCTAGCTGTAACATTTTTATGAGAGATAGAGATACAAAAGATGAGTAGCCTTTTCGTATTTAAAACCACAATAATAGATCTTTTTTGATGAGGGAGCTCAGAGCCTGTCTGATCTATAATGGAGGATCTGTTGGCAAAATATTATAGACAAGTGAAAACATTAACACAGATTTTTAGGCAATTAGAGAAGGCTGGAATGGCAACTGAGTTGTATTTGAGGAGATATTATCTTCACGGGGTTAGACTGGGATAATGTGGAAGTTTACTGTTGGAATGGCGAGGGGAGTTTAGAATGAATTCAAAGTTGCTTCCTCGTTCCGTACGTTGCACAGTCAAGAAAGGACGTGCAATTAGGCTGATCCTGGATAACGAAGGAAGGCAGAAGAAGGTAGAACACTGGAAGAATAATGATCATAATTTAATGATATTCATGTTTAAATAGTGACATCAGTGAAGGAGTTGAGCTGCATTTTACACCATTTCAGGTGGAAAAAGTCATGATCCAGCCCAAATGAATATTTGGGGAAAAAGAAAACAGATCAAAGAGTGAACTGAGAAATATTTTAATCAGCGATGGGTAAAGCCCAGTTTAGGTATATCACTCCTCAGAATGGGGTTTAAACAAGAGCTAGGTGGTTCATATAGGGGAATGTAACAGAACAGCCCTGAAATATCCGGAATGGAAAATACAGGCAAGATGGAGCAAGAAAGAAGGCTGGCAATTAGTATAAAGGGAAAGACAAAGGAATTACAGGAAAAATAAGAACTGATAAAGTAGAGGGGTGTCTTATTCCAAGGTGCTTCACAGGAGGGTTATCAAACAGAATCTGACTCCAAGAAACATAAGGTGACCTTCAGAAAGTTGGCGTTGCCCAACGAAGAGACCTTGGAATGCAGGTTCATAGCTCCTTGAAAGTGGAGTCACACACAGACACGATAGTGAAGGTGACTGTTTGGTAGACTTGCTTTTATTGGCTAGTGCATTGAGTATAGGAGGTCATGTTGTGGCTGTACAGCACATTGGTTAAGCCGCTTTTGGAATATTGTGTGCTATTCTCCCTGCAATAGGAAGGACGTTGTGAAACATGAAAGGGTTAAAAGATTTACAAGGAATTTTCCAGGGTTGAAGGTTTTGACCTGTAGGGAGAGGCTGAATAGGCTGGGGCTATTTTCCCTGGAGTGTCGGAGACTGAGGGCTGACCTTATAGAGGTTTATAAAATCATGAGGGGCATGGATAGGGCAAATAGTCAAGGTCTTTTCCCCAGGGTGGGGGAGTCCAAAACTAGAGGGCATAGGTTTAAGGTGAGAAAGGAAAGATTTAAAAAGGACCTAGGGGACAACTTTTCACGCAGAGGGTGGTGTGTGTATGGAATGAGCTGCCAGAGGAAGTGGTGGAGGCTGGTACAATTACAACATTTAAAAGCATCCGGATGGGTACATGAATAGGAAGGGTTTAGAGGGATATAGGCCAAATGTGGACAAATAGGACTAGATTAATTTAGGATATGTGGTCAACATGGACGAGTTGGACTGAAGGGTCTATTTCCGTGTCGTACAGCTCTATGACTCTATGATTTTATAAAGATTTGGTCAAAGACGCAGTTTAGGAAAGGGGAGGAGGTTAAGAGGTGGAGACTTTTACACAGGCAATTCCAGAGTTTGGGGTCCAATCATGTGAAGGCATGTGGTGGACTGATTAAAATCAGAAATGCTCAAGAGGCCAGAATTAGAGAAGCACAGATCTCCCAGAGGCCTGTAGAGCTGGAGGAGAGTACAGAGATGGGGGTAGGTGAAAGAGGCTATGGTCAGGTTTGAAAACAAAGATAAGAATTTCAAAATGTAAAGCACACATTATTCTTCCGTAACCTGCCTACTACTCTGTTTCGTGTTGGGAAGAATGGGTCTAACCTGGAGCTTATCAATTTCTTTTGTTAATTCATTCACAGGGTGTAACTGGTTGGGCTAACATTTATTGCCTATTCCTAGTCACCCAGAGGACAGGTAAAAGTCAACAACATTGCTGTGGGTCTGGAATCACATATAGGCCAGACCAAGTAAGGACGAAAGATTCTTTCCCCAAAAGATATTAGTGAGCCAGATATGTTTTTCTAATAATTTGTGGCAATAGTTTTTATGGTCGTGGATAGTCATCATTAGATTCTTAATTCCAGATGTATATTCCTTGTTCTACCATGGCAGGATTTGAACCCAGGTCCCGAGAACATTACCTGGGTCTATGGATAAGCAATGCAGCGATAATACCCCAAGCCACTGCTGCCCTCTTATTAAAGTATCTCTCACACCTGATCTGCACTTTGATTCAACTACTCCAGGTTCTCTCATAATGGAAGGCATGAGGCTTCTGTTAATTCTAAGGAGATAAAATTGACTGTCCTTCAGAAACAGATCTCATGGATTGATTCAATGCTAGATATGAAGCCCACTCACCTGAAATTCATGCTGTAAACAAGAGGATAGCTATGTGCTATGCCAATGACAAAGGACACAGTCTGCACTGATTTAATGAGCCTTATCAGAAACAAAGTGCTTTCAAAATAAGTCTAACTAATCATAAAGGGTTGCATCATGAGAATTGGACTCCAACTAACTTATCATCAGTCTCATCCTTTTTAGAACTGGCTCACACAACAAACAAACAGGCGTTCAGATAGACATTTCACACGCACTATCAAAAATGTAAACTGTCTGAATACTCAGCACTTGCTAGTTCCAGTCAGATGGATATGGATTTATTTTCTGCTCTTCTGATCATTCTTGCAATAGCCTTTAGGGAAAATAGAAAGTGTAAGATAATTGGCAAAAAATCCCAAGGGAGATAAGGAGTTTCTTTTAAAAATTAATGTTGCAAGCTGTTGTGATCTAGAATGCACTATGTGGAAGATGAAGGAGGCAGATTTATTTGTGGCTTTCAAGCAGGAAACTGGATGTATATTTCAAAGGAGAAATGTCCAGGGGTCTGAGGAAAAAGGAGATTGGAACTAATTGGACAGCTTTTTCAAAGAGCCAGCACAAACACAACAGACTGAACAGCCATATTTCCACTGTTTGATTGCATCAAAATAGGAAACACTCTCAACAGCAGGAAGACTTTAAGCTTTGCTCCGTTTTGAGAGATGGAGGAATGTTAGCTTTTATTTCTGCTCATTTTTAATATCTGGATCAATTAAATACATCTGACAGTCAATTCCTCTGATAGTGTCAGCCCTCACCATTAAAAGAAATCAATCCACTGAAGTCACAGGAAGACAAAGATATGGGGGAAGGTGTGGGAAATATTTTCAGAAGTAATGAGGATAATTCTTTGTTCCTTTTCTTTAAATTAAGGGCTCAGTCCTTCATCTGACACTTCAACATGGAAGTATCTCATTGAGATGATACATTGCTGGCTTCATGGAAGATCAGGGATATGGGTATTTGCTGCCATCGTGTGGTAATTCAATGTATAGCACAGCAATTAAGAATCCCTAATCTTTTCAAAGTGTCATCACCCATTTTCATTGGTCTGATGTATTCAAAAAATCATCAGTATTTAAGCAGCTCCAAGCTAAGCAAATAAAAAAAATATTAATTTGTTGCTTTGTTCAAGAAGGTTGATCACATGCAGATTAAAGCAGCTCCCTTGTCTCCCACCTTTACCATGAACACTCAGTAGCAGCAGTTGGTGCCTTTAACAGAATCCCTACATTGCAGAAAAAGGCCATTTGGCCCAACAAGTCCACACTAACTGTTCAGAGAGCATCTCACCCAGACTCACCCCCACCACCCCCCCATCATTTCCCTGTAACCTTGCATTTCCCATGACAAGTCTACCAATCTGCACATCCCTGGACACTATGGGCAATTTAGCATGACCAATCCACATAACCAGCCCATTATTGGACTGTGGGAGGAAATTGGAGCACCCAGAGGAAACCTGCACAGATAAGGGGAGAACGTGCAAACTCCACACGGATAGTCACCTAAGGCTGGAATTGAACCCGGGTCCCTGGTGCTGTGAGGCAGCAGTGCTAACCATAGTGCCACCCCTTCAGCAATTCTACACCTTCTACAGCAATTCACCAAGGCTCATTCAAATACATCTTCCAAATAAATGGTGTCTACCACCAAGAAGAACAGGGGTAACAGATGCACGGAAACTCCACCAACTGCAAAACAGGCACCACCCTGATTTGGAACATTGTTACCATTTTGTCACTGTTGCTGGGTCAAAATCCTGCAACTCACTCCCTAACACCACTGCAGGAAGTTCCTGGGTTGCAAACAGGTTCCATTGTGGAGTCTGTTCTCAAGTTGGTTTGTACACAAGTTGGAACGCATTGCAGAACAACATAAAGGAGCCATTCATAAGTACAGGAAATGTCATGTCTCGGATTTTAAAATTACACCCCGCACCCCCCACCCCCAACAAATCATGGTCACGTTCATAAGTAAGAACATTGGTAAGTCAGACATCCATAATCCCTATGTATTGGTGTCCCTTCACTCCAAGGACTGCATGAGTTCAAGAAGGCAAGTCACCACCACTTTCTCCAGGGTAGTTAGGGATGGGCAATAAATGCTGGCCTAGCCAGTGACACCCATATCCCATGAATGAAGAAAGAAAATTCTCTAAGCCTGACTCTAACTCAAGCACTCTGCACAGAGGGAGTGCCCTTTTTAGCTAAAAGTAAAACGTTTATGGAAGAGTAATGAATTGTTAGCAGCTCAATCTGTTCAGTACATTGCACTAACCAGCTTCCTACTGCTTATCCAGCCAATTTTTTACAATATTAGTTTACAGGATTGGAGTTATTGACTGAGAAGAGTCTAGTGTCTGTGGCAGGTATACTTCAGGTAGGTGCCAGTTATGTGTATCTGGTTGCTCCCCAGCAATACTGTGGTGTACTGTGGGCCTATCTGGTTTGAATATTGAGTTATCGAGTCTGCCAGAGCATTGACCTGGTTCTGATCTACACTTCGGGGGCATTTCAACCCAAAACACAGACCACACCTGACCAACAAGATAATCACTAAATGGTCATTGCACAAATGCTGGCTTGAGATTGAAACTGAAGATTCCAAAAGATCCTCAGGAATGGCTTGTTGAGCAATTCATAGCCCTCTTCAATTCAATTTGTAGCTCACCATAAAGAAGCAGAAGACCCCAGTGAAAGGAGCCTCAGCAGTTAAAGATACAGAGTTACAGTCTTGGCCTTACTGTGATGGAATCACAACAATGCCAGGCCCCAGATACACAGACTCATATTCCAACAGCCAACAACATAGTAAAGACTGAGATTCCAACTGATTCTCAACAGATTTTGTATCAATTCTAGAGGTGTCTCCATCAATGGTATTCAATTCAGTGATTACATTCGGTTTCTTTCGATGAATAGATTTCCAAATGATGTCAAAATTTCCAGACAACAGGAAGGTGCAGGGAGACCCAAATGATGGCTTGGTGCAGAGCAAGCCTCACTCACTGGCAGCTGGACCCTGTGCTGGAACAGCCACTTGAGGGCGCTGGTGGCTGTAGGAGTGGTCTGTGCAATTTCTGTACATGTAATCTCAGGGCAGAGAGCTGGCAAGGATTGTCCTGTTGCACTGGTGTCTTCCAATAGTCAGCACCATCAACAAAGCCCATTACGTCAGTTACTGGGCACTCCCTCATGTTAGCCAGTGTTTGAATCACAACATTAACTATATGATTGTGAGAAACCCTGCTAATGGGCCCCTCAAAAGTCCAATACTCGCTGAGCATTTTCTATTCCAGTTCACATTGTTCTTGATGGAATTCCTGGTCTATTGCCTTCAATCTTTCACATGAGTTTCACAAACAAGCAAAAATAAAACCCAGAGCACTTAAATCACCGGACCCGAAACATTAACTCTGTTTTTTCCTTCACAGATGCTGCCAGACCTGCTGGGCTTTTCCAGCAACTTTGTTTTTGTCACTCGAATCACTTTTCTGTGGAGGACAATATTAGAAATCCTTGAAAGAAGTGGCTGGAGGCTAGTCAGAAAGATTAGAGCAGTGATTTAATGAGGTGACTCATTTGCTGTCATGAAACACTGCTTCATCCTATCACTGCTGCAGCTGAGTGTTTTGCTCCTGTTGTGTTAACTGCTTTAATATACCTTATGGTTATCCATTACATCACTCTCCCTACAGACTCATCCCTCACTCACTTGTGACAAGCTGCTCTGCTGTAAGTCACTCCAATTTTTATTGTTAGTGACTGGGGAGCTCTCTCTCGTGAGATCCTGTCTTTCGTCAGTTTTCTCCTCCCCTCGCCTGAAGGTTCAACAGCCACTGGCTGCTATCTGTCTCAATAATCCCAGTGTGCACATCGAATATCAGCAGGCTATTCAGCCGCAGGCATCATCACAGTCAGGCCTGATCTGGTCAGGTTCAGGTCAGCACTGGGCTGTGAGCAGACGTGGAGTTGCCTAATTTCAAATGGCCCAGGGGCCACAGTAATAATCCACCAAAACGACCAAACCTTCTTGCACCAAAGCTCCAGGTAGAGTGTGGTTCAGACTGGAAAATTCTGACGTAAATTTGAACCTCAAGATGGAGAGGGCCACATGTAGCTCTGTTGCTTTTCCCTACGCAGCTAACCTGGGTAGTGTGTGCTTCACAGAATCTCCCAAGCCCTGGTATTTTGTCTTGCTCCATACCTGAAGAACATAGTCGAGTGCCAGGTGCCGGAAGCACTTCCTGGTCATTGTTAATGTCCCCGTAGCCTCCTCCACCTCGTGTGTCTTGTTCCTGGTAGCCTGAGCATTTTTGATCAACGCCAGGTCCATGTCCTCTCTGACCTTGTCGAAATGCTTCTTTGTCTCCTTAAACTTCCGAACATCTCTGTCGTTGGGAAAGAAACACAAACGTATGTCACTTGATTGTGGACTGGGCTGAATATAAAGGGATAGGTTCGATAACTCACATGAAAATATCTCATTCTGAAAAACTAAATTACAGCCCATTTGATAAACTGGATTGAACCAAATTGTCATGGATGAAAGTGGATATTGGGCTAGCAACAGGAATGGGGGCTTGAATATGATTCCAAACAGGGAAAGCAATGGCTCAGTGAATTATTGTGAGACTGTTAATCAAGAGACCCAGGGAATATTTTGCAGACGTGGGTTCAAATCCTGCCACAGTAGATGGTAGAATTTGAATTCAATTAATAAAAAAATTTGGAATTAAGTGTTGATTGTAGGAAAAACCCATCTAGTTCACTAATGCCAATAAGGCAAGGAAACTGGTCCGGCCTACATGTGACTCCAGACCACAGCAATGTGGTTGACTCTTAACTAATTAATTAGGGATAGGCAATAAATGCTGGCCTAGCCAGTGATGCCCTTATCCTGAATGAATGTAAAAAGCAAACTTATAGCTCATGACATTTACTAAAGAATAAGCAACTGGATAAGATGGCAGCCTGACAGACTGGTTGCATTGGGCGATGGGGTGCAGTAAAGGGGAACAAAAATGGGGAGAAAACGTTGTCTAGTGACTGAAATGGGAACATTCTGCTTTAGATGTGGCTCAGTGACTGTTAAAGATGGCATCTACTGGCAGGCCACAGTCAAATGGCAACAAATACAATGTCATAACTTTCCACTCTGTAGGATCTGTGCCAGTAGTTGGCACAAGCATCACTCATGGGCTCACTATAAATACGCACTGTATTAAAGTCCATGCAAAAAACTCTCCTAACCTAAAAGCATCTATGGTCCGAATGAAACCCTTTTACCACTAAACAATGCTCTGATTCTATCCGATTACACAATTAAATCTTTTCTAATCAGAGACTGGAAGGATAATCAGAATGAATCGGATGTACAGTTCTCTTAATGGCCAGCAGTCACTTTCCTTTGATTCCCTGCCCTTGTTTAAGGGATCAAGTCACGACTGTCTATTCTAATGACATTCAGTAGTGGTTTTTGGTAACATACCTACTCTATGGCCCCCCTCCCACACCATCAGTCAGATGTTCTCCACTAAATTCATGGGACTCTCTCTCTGCAAACCTCCCCCCTGCCCACTTACTGTGAAGAAATCATTGAAATGCTTTCATTGAAGCCTCCCCAGTTCTGTTCTAAATGAAAAACCAAAAACGCAGTTCACTTTAATTAAGCAGTGGCTCCATTAAACTGAGTCCCTTGCTTCCCTCGCAAATGGACTTAAAAGTTCTCAGGGCAGTATTCCAACTAAAAACTAGTGAGTTTTCCCCAGTGTCATGGACAATATCTATCCCTCAATCAATATTAACAAAACCCATTTTACAATCATTCCTCTTGAGCTCTCTACCAGGAGTCAGCTCTGGCTGACAGCACCGCAGAGAGGCGAGTGTCAAATTCATCCCGGTCAGAACAGGGGTCAAACCCCGTGCTGTCAGCACCAGCCTGATACACACCAACCATCTAGCCAACTGTACCAACCCACGTTCAGTTCTCAGAAATGGTCACTGGACCCGAAACGTTAACTCTTTGATTTTTCTTCACAGATGCTGCCCGACCTGCTGAGCTTTTCCAAAAATTTCTGTTTTTGTTCCGACCCGCAACTGCGCTTTTACAGGCGTGTTGTAGTCTGGAGTTATGGACAGTGCTGGTCCTTTCTTCCCACCATGTGGCTGACCAGGGATCTCCCCCACTCTTACCACCTGCCAATGGATGTACTTTGGAAGGATTTGCAGGTTGATGCTCAATGAATGTGCCTTCCCTAACCATCAACTCCTGGAGTAGCATCAAACCGGAACTTCTAGCTCTGAGATGGTGCTGCTATCTGGTGGACCACAACACTGCCTGTGCAATCATTAGCACACTGATCTTTGTTGGAACTTGCGGTGTGCAAACTGGCTCCTACATTCGAACAGTGACTAGACTTCAAAGATTCTTCATGGATTGGATGCCCTGATATTGTGAACAGTGCTATACAAATGTTAGTGAATGTAAAAGAGAAACTATCTCCCTTCCCTTGTGTTACATTTAAACTGATTAATTATGCAAGCTGCAACTTGTACATGTTCCTTTTACGTTTCTCTCTGCATCTACTCATCCCAAAATAGCCTGCCTTTAATGAATATAGCTGCATGGTGCATGTACCTGTTATCACTCCTCAGTGAGCTCATTAAACACAATGTGAAAAAGCAGGAAAGTGGAGTCAAGGATTGTCAGATCAGCCCAAGACCTCAATAAATGGCACAGCAGACATGATGGGCTGAATGGCCTACTTCTGGTTCTACATCTTATGGTCTTAACTTAGACTGAACCCAGTTTAGTGTCAGGGAGGGGTCAGTTGGATGACCCATCAAATGCACCAGCGACAAACATGCCTAGAACAAGTAAATAGCGTATTTCCCTTCCTTCCCTTGTCAGACTTTCACAAGGACCATTCCCTCCAAGATACCCTGGTCCACTTCTCCTTCACTCCCAACACTTCCATGCCACCTTCCCCTGCGATCGCAGAAGGTGGAATACCTGCCCGCTTATTTCCTCCCTCCTCACTATCCAAGGCCCCAAACACATCTTCCAGGTGAAGCCGCACTTTAACTGCACTTCACTCGATCTAGTCTATTCACTGCTCACAATGTGGTCTCCTCTACAGTGGGGAAAATGGTATGCAGAATGGGTGTCTGCTTTGCAGAACACCGACGTCCTGCCTGCAAAAAAGACCCTGAGCTTCCAGTTGCCTGCCACTTCAACACACCATCGTGTTCCCTGGCCAACATCTATCAAAGGTCAATGCAAGCTGGAGGAACAGCATTCATTTCGTGCTTGGAAACCCTGCAGCCTTCTGGATTTAACATCGAGTTCAACAATTTTAGGGCCTGAGCACCTTTCCCCATGCTTTCCCCAACTCCCTCAACACACACCAGGCCTTGTCATCACATGGGCTGCTACCACACCCAACTTATTGTCAGCTACTAATAGCCCCCATTTGCAGCTATTCATTCTTCTGGGCTGGTCTTGTCCACTCCTATGTCTGCCCTACTGTTTTTCTCCGTCTTTGGCTCTCTCTGCACCTATCATTTACTCTGCCGGCTCCACACACCCCATTTTCTGCATAAAGACCATCCTTTTATGAGCTACCATCAGTTCTGAAGAAGGGTCACCAGACCCGAAACATTAACTCCGATTTCTCTCCACAAATACTGCCAGACCTGCTGAGCTTTTCCAAGCCACCTGAGCAGATATTAGTTAACCAAAAGTTTGGACAAATTTGTCTCAAGGGAAACGAGAGAGTGGAATGGCAGAGAGGTTTAGGGAGGGCATTCCAGAGCTTGGAGCCCCAGTAGCTAAAGGTACACTCATTAATACGGAAGCAAGGGAGAATGGGAATGGGGAAGAGATGAGAGTCAGAGCAGCTCAGAGATCTCAGACAGCTTGCGGGATGGATATGCCTCCAGAGATTGGGAAGGGTGAGGCCAGAGTGAAGTTTGCTCACAAGGTTGAAAAATGATCAAATTGAGGCAGTGTTGGATGGAAGGTCAGAGAGGTGAGGGAGTAGTGAACAGGATTTGGTGAGAGTCAGGATATGGGGGAGTGGAGTTTACAATTTACTTCAACAGCAGGAAATGAAACTTTACATTTCACATTGTCCTCACTATTTCAACTCAGATTCCTCAAAATATTATCCCGAGAGATCCCCATAGTTGCACAGACTCCTAGCACAGCACCGACGGAGGTCTTTCAGCCAATTCCTGTTCATTCCGGTCAATAAAGATCTGACAACTAATCCCATTTTCCAGCACTTGACCCATAGCTAAATAAGTTGACCCAAAGGTCAAGGAATTGTAATTATCTTAGATTTAAAGTAATTGGTCAAACATACAAAAAAAGAGGAAAAAAAAATCCTTCAGACACAGTGCGTAGTCATAAGGTCTGGAAAGCAGAGGCTGAGTGTGTGGTAGAGACAGGTTCACTTGGGAGGAAACCGGACTGTTATTTGAAAAGGTAGAACATGTTGGAGGTGGCAAGGAAATGGGATGAGGCATATTGCTCATTTGGACTGTCAGTGTAAATGCAACCGACTCTTTCAATGCTGTGACAATTCCGAGATTCTGCATTCACAGCCAACGCAGTTTTAGCAGATCAACTTTCTACTCAGGAGAAGAACAAAGCTCTGCCTTTCCCTTCCCCCACCCCTAGCACTGCTGCTGTGTTCTCAGTCAAATCAACGCTGCCATAGCAACAACCTCCTTCCCAGAAATAAAGCACTGCCGTCCATTCATTTGCTAAATGCAAAATATCACATTAGCTGCTCAGGTTAATTCCCCTTGACATTCACAGAGTTTGGTTCCCTCAGCCAGAGACCAGGGCTAGCATTAACATTGCTGAAATCAGATGCGTTCAGTTTACTGGTTGCTGAATGTTAGGGGTGGTGTCAACAGAGAGAATACTGATTTTCAGAATTCCTTGAAAGTGATTATAACCCACTGGTGTTTCTATTGACAGGTCAATCGTATTCAAGGCTTCACAATAATCCTACACCAATCCTGGCTCCAGATAGAAAGCTGGAGACGGTCTTATTCACAATACATTCAATGGCAATTAATATTAGGCTGACTGAGCTGGGAAGGACCAGTCATGGGATACCAACTCCTCCAGGAATGACCTAGAGGCTGAAGATTTATCATCCCAGTGACTCTGGAGAAAATTCATAGGGCTATTCAAAAACAAAATAGTGTTTGAAACACTTACTACTTATGAAAATGTTGGGAAGTAGCTAAAAAGCTGTTTCATGGATGGGCAGGAACCATGCAACTTGGTCCTAAAGAGTCTTTGCAATTTCCCATTTGTTTGGACAATGCATTGCTAAAATGGGCATAGTCAGGAACCAAAGGTGGACAAGCA